GAGGCAGTTTCCCCCCTCCCCTTAATTGTCTCCAACCTAATACCCTATTACTAAGTCACATCCCCACAGGGTTCATGGTTACAGTCCTAGATTTAAAGGATGCTTTTTGTATCCATGTACACCAAGATTCCCAATTCTTATTTGTCTTTGAGTGGAGAGACCCCGATAAACAGATCTGTGAGCAGTCAGCTTGGACAGTTCTGCCTCAGCTTTTTGCCTACTCCCTCCCTCAAGTCTTTCCTTCTCCAATATATCCATATATTTCTTACAAAAGAGCCTTGGGTTAAAATACCATCCAGGCACTATATACATTGGATACAAGTGGGCTAAGACTCAGATGTCCTTATAAGAAACAGGATTTTGGTAGGTAACATCTACAAGAGGACCTCTGGCTAGGCAGCGTAGGGATTTCATTTTAAACATGGACACTCCTACCAAAAGCAACTATTCTGCTACTTCCTGGGAAGGCGGGGGTTCTGTCTTATCTGGATCCCCCAGCTTGGGCTCATGGCTGAACCTCTATGGGGCTTCACATGCCCTGAGGAGGAGCCTGTACATTGAACTCCAAAATGGGCCAAGGCCCATCATTCCTTAAAGCAAGTCCTTACTGCAGCCCCACTGTTGCCCTGTCTCACCGAGAAAACCATTTTCCACACATGTTCTTGAGAGAAGGGAGAGTGCCTGTGAGTCCTCATGACCCACCAGTCACCCTAAAGCATACCTAGAGGTCAAGGGTGGCCCCCATACCTCAGGGCATTAGCCCCGGTAGTTCTTTTGGTAGGAGAGGCTTCTAAATTGACTCTGGGACAAGGGAAATAATATTGACCTCCACCCAGTAACAGACATTTAAACTCAAAGACATGCCATGGGATATTGGATAAATTATTTTCAAAAGTACTATGGTTTCTTTTGAGGGACCTCTGACCTCCAAATTCAGTCAGGTCAAACTCTAAATCCTACTATATTACTACCAGACCCAAACACTGACCCCACTCTCCAACACTCTTGTCTGAAGTTCTTGCTCTGCCCTGCAGAGTCAGGTAGGACCACCAGGACACTCCCTTCTCTGACCCTGACACCACCTGTTAACTGATGGCAGCAGGTATGATTGGCAGAAGACCAGTTTTTTTTTCTTTTTTCATTTTTCTTTTATTATTCATATGTGCATACAAGGCTTGGTTCATTTTTCCCCCCTGCCCCCACCCCCTTCCTTACCACCCACTCCGCCCCCTCCCTCTCCCCACCTCAATACCCAGCAGAAACTATTTTGCCCTTATCTCTAATTTTGTTGTAGAGAGAGTATAAGCAATAATAGGAAGGAACAAGGGTTTTTGCTGGTTGAGATAAGGATAGCTATACAGGGCATTGACTCACATTGATTTCCTGTGTGTGGGTGTTACCTTCTAGGTTAATTCTTTTTGATCTAACCTTTTCTCTAGTACCTGTTCCCCTTTTCCTATTGGCCTCAGTTGCTTTAAGGTATCTGCTTTAGTTTCTCTGCGTTAAGGGCAGAAGACCAGTTTTTAGTTATGCAATTGTTAGCCTCTCAGAGGCTGTTAAGTCAAACCCCTTGCCCAGTAGCACTACTTCAGCCCAAAAGGCAAAGCTATTTGCCCTCACTTGAGCTCTTCAATTAGAGAAAAATAAAAGTCAATGTATGTACTGACCCTGCCTATACCTTCCAGGAAGTGCACACACACTCCATCATCTGAAAAAATGGGACTTTAACAGTCAAAAATACCCTAATGAAACATGTTCATGAGGTCATAATCCTACAAGACCATCAAACTTCCCATACAGGTAGCCATAATTCATTGCCAAGCCCACCAGAATCTTTGGGTAACAACTGGGCTGACAAACAAGCCAAGGAGGCAGCCAAACTATGCCTACAGGCAGCTTTACTCTTTCACCCTTTTCTACCCCCTCTCCAATATAACTCTAGGGTAACTTAGGAGACCATGGCTAAAGGACTCTCAAATGACCCTGAGAGTTGGTTACAACACCAGACCACCATCTGCTCCTGCCTGGATCCTCCCAATGGAAGGTTTTATCAGGCTTTCATAAGATTACCCTTTGTGGAGCCAATACCCTGCATAGCCCATGGGGGAACCTGTGCTATGCTTGTGGAAGACTGCTGCTTTGGGGTTAATGAATCAAGTCAGGTTCAAACTAACATTCATAAACAAACCCAACAAGCTTCTCAACTTAAGAGTCACCCCAAGGATGGCTCTCAAGGAAACTATCTGGCCAGGGTTATCCCAGGGATTCTGCCCTTCTTGGGCCCTCTGTATCTATTTTATTCCTTTTGTCATTGGTTTATGCCTTATTAATGTTCTAAACAAGATTTATTTCTTCTTGCCTCCATACCATAAATTATGTTACAACATGGGCTCCATCCTTATTGCCTGACCCTCCAATGCCCTTTGCCTCCCTAGACCATACCATTTTCTTTCATGTTCAGTTAGACTCTGTCATGTCCCTATGGCCTGCACTGCCACCCTCTGCCAGAACAACAAATATATAGGCAGCGACACCTCTACCACCCTTCCCAGCTCAAAGAGTTACAAGAAGACATTCTCCCCACTAAAACCAGGATTGGTTTAGTTGTTCTCTCGGGGTGGGAGGATGTAGAGGAGGCCCCCACTTTAAGGAAACGTGGCAGAGAAAGGAATATTGAAGAACAAATGGTGTCGGGGGGTGGATCATGCCAGCTGCAGGGCCCAGATGAAGCACGAAATAAAAGCCAAACTTGCAGGATGTCTGCCCTTGCATGAAATTTAAACCATGATGTAGAGAAGGACAACCAGTAAGTTGTGCAAAACGGAAGGCAATCAAAAGTGGCCTGATCAGAGGTATAAAATCTACTCTTCTACTCTGTGTCTCGGTAAATTCTTTTATCAACCTAAGGCTCCAAAATCCCTGACAGTAAGTAGTCAATGTTTCTCAGTAAAAACAGTAAAGCACCTCTTACACAAGTATGTCCTAAGATAACAGTAAGTACAATGTAGCACACATATACCAGGAATGTAGTCATTTGTCATTGTGACCATTATGTACTGTAAACAACTGTACATGCTACACTTTTACATGACTAGAGCACACTGTTTATGACAGCATCAAGGGAGTAGTGCATTCGCACTCCACCCTTAGGATGACTACCACGTCATCAGACAAGAGAAATTTTCAGCTCAACTGTGATCTATGGGTCTATTATGGTGGAAGAGGTCTATGTTGGCAGACACATTGCTGTGAGGCCTATGACCACACATTCATAACGTGCAAACATCACCACCGTCCATCTCCACAACTCTTTTTTAAAGCATTTTTTTTTCTCAGTGGTTGGTACAAATCCAGGGCCTTTTGCATGCAAGGCCAGAACTCCACCACTGAGCTAGGCTCGTAGCCAAGGAAAACCAAAACTGTATCCGTTAAACATCAACTTCCTATTTTCCTCTTCCTCCCTCTCCAGCAACTACCATTCCTGTTTAAATTGAGGGTACAGATGGAGCCCAGGGCCGTGCACATGCTCACCTGGTGCTCTAACACTGCACTACATCCTTGCCCACAACCTTCAGGATTTTTACCATACTAAGCACCTTATATAAGTGGATTTCCCTCCACAGGTGCAGATTGGTGGCAGTGAAGGTGTGGCCAGGTTTGCCACCTATGGCTCAAACTCCAGAGTCCCCATCCAAAGGCAGACTTGCCCCTGCACTGCCCAGACCTGTTGATCATGAGCACATGGGGTCCTCTGGGGGAACCACTCGCTCGTGATGCAGTTTTGAATGAGGGAATTTTGGATGCTGGATCCCTTCCCACTCTCTTCCCAAGCCACCATTTCCACTGCTGTAGGGTGGGAAATGAAGAGAACCGGCACCCTGACAGGTGGAAAGGGGTGCAAGCTGGAGCAGGTCCAGGCTATGTTGATGCCAGGAAGCAAAATGGAGGCTGCAGAGGAAGGCGCTTGTGTCCAGACCTTCTGCACACAGCTCACAGGCCTGGAAATGTGGAAGTGCAGGAGCAGTGTTTTACTGAACAGCCCAGAGAGTTCTGTTTTAGGTGCTGATTTCAAACCTCAAGGGCACTTGAAAAAGTACATGCCTGGTCTATTCTCAGCCTTTCCTCATTTTTGGTTTCAGGTAAGATGTTCCTAGTGGAGACATCCATGTCTCTTCTGACATGCCAGCACTCCCTATTTCCCTTCTCGGCCTTTTCTCCTTTGTACTTATGAGCACTTTGCTTGCTGAATGACCTAATTTTATTATCACTGACTGAAATGCAAGCTATCCGAATGCAAGTGCTGTGTTTTGCTCGCTGCTGCAGGTCCTGGATGAACATGAGCTCACAGAGGGATCACTGACTCAGGCCCAGTAGGCCCAGTGCTGAGGGCTTTTGAGTCTTGAGGCCAATGACAACGTTCCCATTTTGGCTTCTCTTAACAAATCATTACAATGTAATCCTGAAGCCATTCTACATTATAGTCTTCCTGCCAAAATATATGGTTGCCAGAAAAAAACAGTCTCTGAGGTTTTCCCCATGGATTTGGAAGGGATTTCTCCTCTCCATGCAGCTTCAGGTGACCCTGCAGCTCACCACCCCACTCGGCAAAGAATGCCTTGGAAGGCCATCTCGGTGGCAGATGATACTTGACTGGAATCCCATGGGGAGAGGCCCAAGGTAAGTTGCCATTACAGGGAAAGATGGTTTGCACACCTTACTCCTGTGCTGGAGAGAGACCTTTGCTGGGCTTGCTGTGCACACAGCAGCTTGAACATCCCGCCTGAATCCTTCCTGCAACTGGTTGAGTCTACACCGTCAACCCCCACACCATGGTAAAAGGATCCACAGAGCACAGGGTTTTCCGACTCTCCATTGTTACCTTTGCTTTTCTCAGCTGTCCACAGCTTCCTTTGGAGTTACTGTGTTGTGGAATTCAGGGAGTGAATTTTGGGCCCGCACACAGCAACACAGACTTAAAATAGAGTCTATGATCCTCCTTCTCACTCTCTGCCAGCCTCGGATATTGCTGGGGAGAGAGGCTGTGGCCATGGTAAACTCAGGACCAGGCTGGGGGACTTTGTCTGTGGTGGGGGTTCTCCTTGGCAGGATGCAGAGGGGATATAAGGGAGGCTGGCTGTTCTTCTGCCCCTGTGTCCTGTTTTCTTGTCATCAGAGGACAGGGTGAAGGTCTGAAGAAGGGCAGGTGCACTGGCTCTCCTCCTTAGTGGGGGAGCAGAGGTCGAAGGATCTGCAGGGGGTGGGGTGGGCAGAATCTGTGGGCGCACGGGGGGCTTGAGGTGGGCACTTAAGTTAGCTCCCTGGCACACCTGCTGTCTCATCATGAAGTAGGTGGCCATCGCCTCATCAAATTTTCTCTGCAGTAGAGATTGGCATACATCACCTAGGTTGTAACCAAGGTCACACATGGCTACCAGTATTGCAGGGTCCAGGTGTTTTGGCAGAGGCTCCACAGCAGCACTTGGTGATTCCTGTTCACCTTGGCTTAGCCAAGGGTGCCACATAATGTTCTCTAGAGGGGGCCTCTTGCTAGGGTTTTTGGTGAGCAACAGAATAATCAGGTTTTGCAAACTCATGGAAAGGTATGATGGCAAGGCATACCTTGGGTTCAGGATTGCCTGCCTCAGCTGCATAAAGGTCTCCCCTGTAAAGGGCAAGGTTCCCGTTACCATAAAGTAGAGGAGGACGCCCAGGCTCCAGACGTCCACTTTGGGGCCATCATAGGGTTGTTCCAGGAAGAGTTCGGGGGCTCGGTATACAAAAGCACCACACAAATCTATCAGCCTCTGCCCAACCGAGTACCTGGTACCAAGGCCAAAGTCGATGACTTTCACATTGCCGTGGGCATCCAGCAGGATGTTGTCAGCTTTTAGGTCTCTGTGTACGATGCCTCTTTCATGACAGTAATTGATCGCACACACGATCTGTCTGAATACACTGCGGGCCTCGTCCTCACACAGGCGCTGGGCCTGTACGATACGCTCGTGGAGCTCCCCTCCGCTGACATATTCCATGATGAGGTAGACTTGATCCACTGTTTCCATCACCTGAAACAGCTGGATCACATAGGGGTGGCACACTGTTTTTAATATAGACACTTCAGATGCAATGTAGGAGTCTTCCTGTCCCTTCTGCTGTATTTTTACTGCAACTGGAGTCCCCGTGAGGCGATGGTAGGCAAGTTTCACCTGGGAATGGCCACCTATGCCTATGGTCCTCATGACCCTATACTGAGATGTGAGGATCTCAGAGAAGCTGGCACTGAGAAGGTACTGTGTTGTCAGCTCCTGACTACTCTCACTACACAATGATCGTAGCATCATTACTGAATTTTAAAAAAGAAACAAAAAGCCAAAAAAAGATAAATTGAAAATAACCAAGAATCAAAACAAAGAAAAAAAAAAACCCATAAAAATTAAATGAAAATGAAAAATATAAGCAAGTATAGAAAACAAAAACAAAGACCAAAACCAAAATCCAAAAATCTGTCAACCAAGTTTTGTATTAGTTCAGCGGGTCACCAACCAAGAGCTTCCTGTGCTGTATGGACAAAAATCCAGCTCAGGTGAACTCCTTATATATCTGCTGGATGGCAGTTGGCATTACTCACAATGGCCCTGGTGAGGTCAGAGAACAAATGGACCAATCACAGCTAGGTGCAACCCACAGTGCTAGTCTCACAGGTCCAAGAAACTTTACAAATTAAAAACAAACAAACAAACAAACAAAAAAATAACGAACTCCAACTGATTTTTGCTTAGGTGACTCATGGAGACTGGTATTTCTCCCTATGAAGTTGAAGCCAGTGGATGCTTCAATGGCCTCTTCATTTGGAGCCTAAAAATCTGTGATAACTTTTGGCTTTTAAAAACCTCATCCTATCTGCACTCTAGGTATTCAATTCCTTTATCTTTAAACCTGGAGTGATTGATGTCAAACTAATCCTTTGGTAGCAGTTCTCAAACATTGTGCCACTGTCACAAAAATAACTGTTCCATAAAGCACCATGGAGCACTTTTAAATCCATGGGGTGGAGGGGAGAGAAGGAGAGAGCCCTCTTCACCATAATTTTCCTCATCAGATTTCTTGTCAGAAGTCTTAGACCCAGAGGCAGTGGGCCGGTATTTTCAAAGTGATGAAGGATAAAACTATCTGCCAAGAATTATAGCAGAGAAAGGAGTAAGAAATGGGGGCATATACTGGTGGGTCAGCCCCTTGGTGCTGTGTAACAAAATACTTTAGACAGGGTCATTTGCAGCCAACAGAAATTTCTCACAGTTGTGCAGGTTGGCAAGTGCTTGATCAAGGCTCCAAGAGCATCAGTGTGCCAAAGTGCTTGTTTTTGTTTTCTTACTCTGTTACCCTGTTACCGTTTCCTCACCAGGTGGAAGGACTAGAGACATTCTTTGAAAGAAAACAATGTAGCAGACACACTTGCATCCCCCATGCAGATGTAACAGATGAGATTTTATTTTATTTGCGTTCATCTCTTCTTACTGCTGCTGTTCTTCTTCATGGGGTGGGGGATGGGTTCCTGGAGGAAGAGGCTCAGTGTGGAGCCTCAGCTGACTTTAAACTCTCTCCTTTCTTATTTTATTGCTGTTCTTGATTTTGATGCTAAAGGAGTTTGAATTCAGGGCCTCACGCTTACTAGGCAGGCACTCCACCACTTGAGCCACTCCACCAGCCCGGACTTGAACACTTGATCTTCCTTCCTGAGCCTCTGAAGTGCTGGGAGTACTGGATTACAGGTGCACCAACTCCCCCACCTTCTTCTTTTCACTTAACTTTTTTTGAGGGGGAAGGGGGTATAAACCACACTTGCCTAAAGCCCTGGGTCCCATCTTCCCTCCTGGATATCCTCATTTTTGGCTTTTGTTCTGTTTAGCCTTGTTTTGACTTTGCAATGCTGGGGATTTAACCCAGGGTGCTTCCCACATGCTAGGCAAGTGCTCTACCACCAGAGCACATCCTCCTTGGATATAATTCTTAAGTCGTTCCTTCTTTCCCATGTGTTTATTGACCTTTCATCCAGTCAGCTCACTGAGTTCTTCTTAGGTGAGTGTACCTGCAGACATCCTTGAATTCCATGCAGTCATATGACCCTGCACATAAAAGTACAATTTCTCCTCCATTGTAGTTTTTATCCTTTCATTTATTTTTCTCGTCTTACCATGATGTCCAAGACATCTAGTACAAGGTAGAATGTTACCAGTGATAGGAAGCAGAGTTCTCTCCTGTCTGACCTTAATAGAAATGTCTCAAATATTTCACTGGTAAGGATAAGGTAGGTTTGCTATAGTATTTGATAGGTACCCTTTATCAGGGTTCAGGAAGTTTCCTTTAATTCTGAGTTGGTAAAGTTTTTATTAGGATATTGTAGCAGGGAGAAGGATCAGAAGAAAAAAACAGTAGGCCTGAGTTCTGATAAAGTAGCAGGGAGGTGGGGATGGCATAGTAGAGAGGTAAAACCTGAGGAATCTGAGCGTGGAGAGGGTCACATAACACTGGGGAGAGGGAAAGTCACGTAGCAGTGGGGTAAAGTAGCCTATGGAATTGCATATAACCATATGTGGATTAGATCTCGCTTTTTGCTTCTGTAACCTGCTTTCAAGGGTATAAAAGGTGGGGGACCCCTTTGTTCTCGGGGCTCAGCCTTTGGACAGGAGTCCTCTGCGTCTGTGCTACACAATAAAATGTTGCTTCCTGCTAAACTGCCTCAGTGTCCCATATCTCAGCTTGAAATTCCCAAAATAATATTACAATTTTATCAAATGCTAGCCAGACACTGGTGGCTCATGCCTGTGATCCTAGCTACTTGGGAGGCTAAGACAGGAGGATCATAGTTCAAGGCCAGCCTGTGCAAATAGTTTGGGAGATCCCATCCGCAAAATAACCAGAGTACAGTGGACTGGAGGTGAGATGTAGCTCGAGTTGTAGAGCGCCAGCTTTGCAAGTGCAAAGTGCTGAGTTTAATCCCAGTGCCAACAACAAAAAAATTATCAAATGCTTTTGAGATGTTTGAGGTTTCTTCTTCATTGTTAGGTTGATAGATTACATTGAATTTTACTTAGCCAGGGTTGGTTTTAATGGTCACAGCACACTTGGCTGTTCCAGTAGTAGCACCCCTCCTTCATGAATTCCTATCCCTGTGTCCTTACTTATTTGTCACACCTCCCACATTGGTCCAATAAATTGGTTTGGTCAAGATCTGTTGTGATTTGGCCAATGAGACATTACAAAGGTGACACAAGCAGAGGCTTGAAAAGCACTTGTGCACTGGGCTTGCTCTGTTCTGCTGTTTACTGGGAATCCCGTGCCAACAGGAGAAGACTGAGGTGACCTGACGCAGATGTGACTCAGCTGACAGCCAGCTCTACAGCCAGACATGTGAGGGAGGCTGTGCCATCAGATGGCTGTCACTGCCCAAGGACTCAGGTGAGACCAGCAGACTGTCCAGGTGTGCCTGCCTGCGCTGCCAACCACAGAATCACAAGCACAGAGAACAGGTGTTTTCAGACAGTTTTTGTGTGCTTTGTTAGTCAGTGACAACTGATACAGGGAATGTAGAACTATTCAGTTTGTCTGTAACTTCTAAATAAGTATTGGACATTTCCATGTTTCTAATAATTATCCATTGTTTTGAAATTTCATAGTGACTTGAAAAGAGTTGTAGTAATTCTCATAAAGAATCCCCCACGGTATCTCGTATCACACACACTTTTTAATTCCTAGTGTGATGTTCCTTTTTTCTTTTGTTGCCAGAGGCTTGTCTTGATCTGTTTTTCATTTTCTTTTTGGTTCTAGGATTTGAACTCAGGACCTTCCAGTTGCTAAGCAGGAACTCTACCACTTGAGTGATGGCACCAGTCCTTTGTTTTTTGGAAAGGGTCATCCATTTTTGCCTAGATTGGCTGGATGTTGATACTCCTATTTATGTCTCCTACATAGCTGAGACCACAGGTGTGACCCATCATTCTCTGCTTGTTAATTGATGGCATATCAATATCATTTTGCCTGGGTTGGCCTTGATTCCAGATTCTCAGAACCTCTACCTACTGAGTAGCTGGGATTACAGGCATGTACCACCATACCTGCCTTCTTTTTCTAATTCTTTAAATGGGTGCTTGGCTTATTTTTAGCCTTTTCCTTTCTTGAGTATATTAACAAAACATTTTTTTTCTTTAATGATGTACATGTCTCTCTAGTCACTGCTGTAGCTAACTCTCATAAATCTTCTTACATGATGTTTTCCAAGGCCCTTCATTTTTTTTTCCTTTTTTTTTTGTGTGGTTATAGAAGAAACCCAGGGACTTCTGCACAATAATGTGAAGTGGAGATTCTCTGCGCTAGCTGGAGGTGTGGAGGGTCAAAGTTATGCCTTTTCTCAGTGATTATGCCTGCAAAGTGTGTTTCTGGCGTCTCTCCAAGATTTCACTATAGGAGGCTCGCTTTCTGCTTCCTCCCTCTAGCTGCCATCTTGGAATCTTTTCAAGAAAATTCTTACAAGACTACTTGTAGTGACGTGTCCAAGACCACATGGCTAGTGATACAAAGGTCCATTATTCCTTTCTTAAATAATCAATGTTAATGCAATTGACAGTAACCATCTGTCATTTGGAAGGTTGAACCAGGGTGTCAAGTAGTTTAGTTCTTACTCCAAAACAGTCAAAGACTAGAAGTATTGTTCAAGTGGTAAAGAGTCTGCTTTGCAAGTGTAAAGCCCTGAGTTCAAACCCCAGTCCTACCAAAACCAACCAACCAAACAAACAAAGACCCTGCTAGGCAAGTGAGAAGTTCTGGGTTCAATCTGCTGCTCCCACCCTATCCCCAAAGAAAAGAGGAAAAAGAAGAAGAGGGGAGGATAGGCCCTTCCACAGAATGAGAAATCACTTATCAAAAACAAAACAAAACCAAAATAATGCCACACCACCAGACTGTGGGTGTAGCTCAGTGGTAGACTGCTTGCCTACATTATATAAGGCATAGCATCAGCACCATAAAAGAGAGAGAAAGAGAGACAGAGAAATAGAGACTCACAACACTAATATCATTTGTCGTAACCTCTTTTTTGGGGGCATTAACTAAATTCATTGCTTTCTCCTCCAAATAGAACACTGTCCTAAACACATAAGAAGAGAGACAGGTCAATAATGCAAAGTCACATGAGGAATGCCATTCTTTTTTTGACGATACTGAGGAACCTTAACTCACGTCTCACATTTGCTAAGTAGGCACTCTACCACCTGAACTTTTGTGTTGGGTATTTTTGAAATAGGGCCTCTTGAACTATTTACTCACGCTGGCTATAATCCATGAT